CCCATCCAACGCAACCACCGCCGTCTGCCTCACCGCCAACCCCACGCCCGGCGCAGACTGACCCCTCCCTACCGCCCGTACCTTCGCCTTGGTAGTTTCCGACCCTGTCTGTGTTCGCTTCCGGCTACGGAGCACTGCAGAAGACCGAACTACGAGTTCCGGCGGCGCCTGCGCGACCCTGCTGCGTTGCTTTTTTTTTTTTCCTCCCTCCCCCGGGGGTCGACGGGAGTCGGAGTTCGGTGGCGGGGCGCAACCGGAAGCGGGTCTGCCTCCCAGCAGGCTGCGCGAACCAGCGGAGATTCGGTGGCAGCTTGGCGGCCCCACCTGTCACCGGGTGGGGGCGGGAACTGGCCCTCGTGTGACTTAAGGCTGGACCAAGGATCCATAGGAAGCGCTCACTCCGGCAGTGGACGAGGGAAAACAGCAGACCTCATGGGGTGCGGGGCGGGGGAGGCGCCACACCTATCTCCTGATGATTTCTTCCCTTTTCAGTACCTTTTCTGCTTTCTCTGCCTTACACTCCTTACCTTGTTCATCTCCCTAGTTTCCTCCCCTCCTCCAGCCAGATTTTGCCCTACATTTCAAAGCCGATGCAAAGCGTCTTGTATTTTATGTCTTTCATTTTATCATTTGGAGAAGAGACAATAAAACCGTGAGATGTTACAGCTTAAACTACAATGCGGCTCGTAAAGGGCTGGAGCCCAGGTTCTGCCCAGGCAGAAGGGATCATTAAGTGGAAACTTTCAGTGACTCACAGTCTGTTTGACTAGTCATTAGAAATCTTCACCTAAATTTTTCCATTCCTTCCTCGTCCTTGCCAGGAGGCTTGCAAGTTAAACAGAGGTTTTCCATAGTCCATGATGTTTCTTTCCTGCCCGCATTATTTTGGTGCGTCAAATTTGCTTCCTCGTGTGGCATTAGGTGAAGTGATTTATCCCCCCCCACTTTTAAAAATAACTGCATCTCACACAGGTTGTATTTAGATGAACTTGGGAAAAGTGGAAAGCAAAGAGAAATAGTCTGCGTTTAGTCCTAAACTGCATGAAGCAGAGAGAAGCACATTGTTTCTTTTTCTTTTTTACAAAAAAGTGTTGGAAAATAATAGAGTTAGAAGAAAACCACACTGTTGATATTTTTCTGAAAGGAGGCTAGATACAATGCATCTCACCTGCCTGGAAATTACAGTGTAAGGGTGTAGACTTACAGAAAGCGTTTTCTAACCTTAGATTGTATTTTTAAAAATCTAGATGTGGGCTGGGGATTTAGCTCAGTGGTGCCATGCCTGTCTCGCAAGCAGAAGGTCCTGAGCTAGATCTCCTTACCACCAAATAAATAAATAAATAAATAAATAAAAATACAATAAAATCTAGATATAGGTCTGGATCTAAATTTTTTTCTGAATTTTAATTTTGAATATCTGTGTTGTAAAGAGGAAAAAATTCAGCTTAATGAAATAGTTAAAAATGCAAAGCTGTCAGGTTTCCCTTTACCAAACAAGTCCTACACTAGTGGTGTGAATTTATGTTTAATATTATCAAATGCACTTTTGTTTTGTTTTGAGACAGGGTCTCACTATGTAATTAAGACTGACCTGGAACTCACTATGTAGCCCAGGCTGGTCCCCAACTCACAGCAATCTTCCTGCCTCAGCCTCCCAATTGCTGGGATTACAGGTGTGTGCCACCACACTGAGCTTATCAAATGCATTTTTAACATGTGATATCGGGGAGTTGACATTATACATGTAAATAAACCTCCTTTTTTTTTTTTTTTTTTTGGTACCGGGGATTGAACTCAGGTCCTTGCACTTGCAAGGCAGCCCACCGAACCGCTGAGCTAAATCCCCGGCAAGAAACCTCCCTTATAACCAGACCGGGGGTTAGGGGTGTACTCTAGTGATAGAGCGCTTCCCTAACATTTGTGAGACCTTAGATGTTATCACCAGTACCACAAAAAACAAAAGTAAATATAATAAGGCTTGTTTTAAGCTATCATCAAGTATATGTTCCCTCAAATCTCATGAAAATTGTTTTTGTTTTATTGGGTCAGGTTGGATTTTTTTTTTAATTTTTCAGTGTTTTGTTTTTTCATACTTGATGAAGTGTGCCTCTGCCTCAATACAAAGTTCTAAATATAGTTCTATAGAGACCCAAGAGGATCCTTCTTAAGAATTACTTATTTTCAAGTTGGTGTTAAGGCAATCGCCTCCAGATTTGCAGAACACTTATTGATGTAAAACTCATAGCTCTTTTCATGTGTAAGAGACATGTATTGCTAGTGAATGAAATAGTTTAATCACAAGAAAATATGTTGTGTCTGAAATAAGATGCCTTCTCACACAAGATTTACACTCTTCAACCCACTTTTGAGAAAATGTCAACACATGCACCCAAGCCCTTCTCCATTAGAAACTATACTCCTCACCTATAATCCCAGCACTCTGGAGGCTGAGGCAGGAGGATCGCTGTGAGTTCCAGACCAGCCTGGGCTACATAGTGAGTCCCAGGTCAGTCTCAACTACATAGTGAGACCCTGTCTCAAAAAAAAAGACAAAGAAAGAAACTATACTCCTCTCCTGTATCAACACTGGGGCACTGGATGATCCCACTCTGGTAGGTTAAGTTCTTCACAACTACTCAACTCAATCAGCAGGATTTCTTTGTGCCTGGTATTTTTCCTAGGGACAGAGGCAGAAATTGCTAAGAGTGCCTCTTAGGAAAGCAACTGATACCATTAATTTCCTTGTCATTGAATAGGATAGTTATGAATATTCAGGAAAGAAGCCATTCCATTGTTTTTCGAAAGCTTGAAGCTACCAGCCCAAGAACCAGCAGGAAAGTGAGGAATCCTTTTGTTAATTACTGTTGTGCCAAGACTGAGCAACTTGTAAGTGGGATCTTAAGTCTTTGTAGTGTATTCCCACTCCCCAGAATAATGCCAGGTATAAAGAGGACTTCGTAAATGTTAAATAGGATGATACTTCCCTTATATTCCTTCAAGGCTGTTGAGACGCAGGACTGATAACTCTAAGAGGCAGTTTTCCAAAGATGTATTGTTATTGGCTGGAATGTGTATACAGGTACAGCTTGATGGCAGCCTTACTTGGAGAAGCTGTGCTGCATGTTTCAAGGTCTGGACCACATGGCAAGAAGTAATTCCTGTCTTCCAATGCAGATCCCACCAGCTGGCATTCCTAACAGTCTCCCTCTTGTTCTTGTGTGCGTGCTGGAGATTAAACCCACGGCCTGGTTCATGACAACCACATGCTCTATCACTGAGCGACACCTTCATCCCCTCTCTTTTGTTCTTTTCCATCCTCCCTTAATTACAGTGCCCTTAAACTAGCCAAGGCCTTAATATTTGTACTTCTTAATAAGCTGCACGTAGTTTACTCTCTTAAGCAGTTTACCTTTCATTTTTCAGTGCTGGAGATTAAACCTAGAGCTTCCCACATGGTAGGTAAATGCCCTACCACTGAGCTGCATTCCCCAGCCCATCTTATTTTTATTTTGAGTCACAGTCTTGCTAAGTTGCCCATCCTGGGCTTGAGCTTG